CCAGGCTTGTCCTTGAGCATCACAGTCGTAACTGCTTCCTCGATAACAGGAAAAAACAGGCTCATTTCCACCGACGCGCGGAGCCTGCTGAGTAACCGCTGGCGGGTACGCAGATGGGGAGAGAGAGAGGGACAGGACAGATGCCACAACTGCACATCAATTCGTCAGCTCTGTCCTGCTGCCCCAAGGCTCCCAGCCCTCCCGGTGCTGGCGTGGCAGCAGCACGATTTTCCCCAGGTGGTTTAAGCAGCACAAGCTGTTATGCAGCATCCCCCGGGGCAGATGGAAAGCCTGAAGGAAGGGTTTGTGCTCCCCAGGGCAATGCAATACTCCCCCTCTTTGCACCTCCGCAGGTAGAGCGGAAGGGTGTAATGTTTTCACATCCCCCCCAAATTACAGTGCCGGTCCACAGCCGGAATAAATAAGGACCTAGGTCTGACCCCACAGGCTGGCAGAAGCAGCACTTCTTCATCACAAATTCTCTGTTGGGTCTATGGGGGGAGAGGACAAGGGGAGGGGATGCACATCAAAGGAAGTCTGAGCAAAGTATGGGAAAACAGAGGTGGATCCTAATGAGAACCAAAGGTGGAAAGAAGAGGTTAAAAGCAGGGGAGAGACTGGAAACTGGAGGGATGGATGAAGAAAAAGAGCTAAACTGGTGTCAGACACTGTACACCAGTGAACTCCAAGGTCTGGTGCAACAAGAAGAGAGGTCCATGAGAGCCAGCACATCCCCGTGCTGAGGTTGGGCTCACACAGGGTCCCAGAGAGCTGCCCTCCCTGCAATTCCCCGGTCAGTGGCTCTGGGAGGGAGGTCACCACGGTGGCGGGGAGCAACCCTAAACCCCACTGCCCATGGCCATCCCAGGGCAAAGGCAAGAGCTGCCGTCTCCACTCCTCATCCTTGGTACCTCCCCACTTGGTACCTACTATTACCAGCTCTGTAGCCAACACAGACTTTTTTTCCAGAGCTCAGGTTGTCTCCTACCTTTGCTGCCCACATTGATCACACATGGGACATTGCCCAAGCATCTTGCCTGTGGGAGATGAGCTGTTTTCCATGGAGGTGGCAGCATGCAACCATCACGGCCCCAGGCTGGGAAGAAAGGCTCCTCTTGAGCTGCCTTTGGGGAGCAGAAACATGATGGGAGAATCAGGACAGGAGACTTTCAGAGGAACACAGGGCACCTCAGCTCCCTTGAACTGTAATAGGGACTCCTGTCTTTCTCCCACCACTTCAAAAAAGCCACCAAAGTGTCTTGCCCCCAGCTAGCCAGAAAAGATCCATCAGGGCTAAAGGCAAAACAACACAGGGCACCTCAGCTTCCTTGAACTGTAATAGGGACTCCTGTCTTTCTCCCACCACTTCAAAAAAGCCACCAAAGTGTCTTGCCCCCAGCTAGCCAGAAAAGATCCATCAGGGCTAAAGGCAAAACAAATGTTTTTAGCTCCTGTCTCAGCTTTAATGGCAAGAGCAGCCACTTTCCCAACAGCTCTGTTTTCTTTCACTTGAACAGACAATTTTAAGGCTCCTTGGTTAGCAGATATTCAGCTACAGATAAATGGTTGGAGTGACAGAAAGCCCTTGTTCCTGTCTTCTCTGTGCCTCAAAACCATGATTAGAGCTGTGATCCCTGCTGCAGGTTTAAGGAAAGAAGGGGAAGGGAAGCGCTTGGCCACATCAGCCTGGTGGTCCACCCCAGCTCACTGCCATGCTGGGAGCACTGGTGGGGCAGTGCCATGCTGATGTGGGCACGGGCTCCTGGTACACACAGGAGGGAGTCATGCCCAGCGTTAAGCAGAACTTCATCTGTGTTCTTTTCCCTTTTAAAACTGCTTAATGTGCTGCAGCCTGTTCTCCCACCTACAAGTTTGCAGTCCTAGGATGCTCTGGTGACTCTCCCCGGCGTTCGAGGCATTCCCTGAGCAGGTTATGGTGAGAAGAAAACCTCCAGGAGGCTAAGCACGTGTTACAGACACACAGAGAGGGATGGATGACTTCTGGCAGCAAGTCCATGGTCCCTGATGGGAGCTGCTGTGCTGGGAGCCACGTGCTGCTTGAAGCAGCTGGGGAAATGTAACTGAATGGCAAAACCACAGCCGGGACGGCAGCAACAGCCACAGCCCATTGGAAAGGGGCAGGGGTGATGCAAGCCAGTGTGGAGAAACTCTGCACATCTCTGCCCTGGTGTGACAGCCTGCTGAAACCCCCACGTTGCTTCAGCCCCCCTTTCCCCACTGCCTTTCCCTATAGAAATAAAGTGCTTTGGGCAACTGCATGTGTGTCTTTACAGAATCACAGAATTGTCAGAGTTGGAAGGGACCTCTAGAGATCATCTGGTCCAACTCCCCTGCTAAAGCAGGAACGCCTAGAGCACATCACTCAGGACTGCATCCAGGCGGGTCTTGAAGATCTCCAGAGAAGGGGACTCACGACCTCCCTGGGCAGCTGAACAGAAACATGATCAGAGAATCAGGACAGGAGACTTTCAGAGGAACACAGGGCACCTCAGCTTCCTTGAACTGTAATAGGGACTCCTGTCTTTCTCCCACCACTTCAAAAAAGCCACCAAAGTGTCTTGCCCCCAGCTAGCCAGAAAAGATCCATCAGGGCTAAAGGCAAAACAAATGTTTTTAGCTCCTGTCTCAGCTTTAATGGCAAGAGCAGCCACTTTCCCAACAGCTCTGTTTTCTTTCACTTGAACAGACAATTTTAAGGCTCCTTGGTTAGCAGATATTCAGCTACAGATAAATGGTTGGAGTGACAGAAAGCCCTTGTTCCTGTCTTCTCTGTGCCTCAAAACCATGATTAGAGCTGTGATCCCTACTGCAGGTTTAAGGAAAGAAGGGGAAGGGAAGCGCTTGGCCACATCAGCCTGGTGGTCCACCCCAGCTCACTGCCATGCTGGGAGCACTGGTGGGGCAGTGCCATGCTGATGTGGGCACGGGCTCCTGGTACGCACAGGAGGGAGTCATGCCCAGCGTTAAGCAGAACTTCATCTGTGTTCTTTTCCCTTTTAAAACTGCTTAATGTGCTGCAGCCTGTTCTCCCACCTACAAGTTTGCAGTC